GGCTCCATCATTGACTAGCTGCTTGATCTCGGGGAAATTACTTAATCTTGTACAACTGAAAGGTGGTGAAGCCCGAGGATTCAGAACAGGACCGCCCGATTTAAGGATCCCAAACATTTTCCCAGCTTATACAGCATCTCCTAATCCATACCCACACAATGGACCCTTGGTAATGAATACAGTAATTAATAACTTCCCAGATGGTAGTTGAGCTTGTTTTAAAATTCCGATAGTCAAGTTGGGAGAATGTTACAAGAAGATTAGTTGGGGAAAAAAATGGTGTGTCATATATTATCAGCCTGGAACATTTGGAATTGTCATTCATAAGAAATAAGCTCATTATTAATAGAAGATTACTTTTCTTGTCTTTATGTGACTATTTTCTTAAATTAAAAATGCTTTTTTTTCTTATTGCAAAAGCAATGCATGCTCATCTAATACAAATTGGAAAATAAAGATAAGCAACTAATACAAAATTAAACACACTCATAATCCACCAACCCAGATAGAACTGCTGTAAATGTCTTTTAGGCTTTCTGTGCTTTTATATAGATTTTTAGAAGGCATAAATACTGTTTCTTTCACTCTACAAACATCTGGTCAACAACATTCTGTGTCAATACATTTGCCTTTACTACGTCGTGGGTTTTTTTTTTTTTCTATGTCTGCTTATTAAGGTGAATAATTTTATTTGTTTTTAAACCACATTTGTTTACTCAGAAGTCAGAATCACAGATAAGGAAACATCTGAAGAGCCCAGGTGTGGTTATGTGGAGAGGTTGAGTAATTCAAAACAAAGTGCAAAATACAAAAACAATTACAACCAGTTTGACAGTTGTGTGTCTGTTTCCTACAGCCCTTCTACCCACAAGTCTACCGCTGACTTCAAAGAAAAGTCAGCACAGAGGAGGTCCGGAGGATAAGGTGCAAAATGAGAATCAAACCCACGATAAGAGATTAAAGGAAGCTTGATCAAAGACCCGGCATAAAAGTGCTAGCCCATGACTTGCCTTGGCCCATGGCCCCAAAATATTCACCAGAACAGCGAGCTCTCTTTGAAGTGATTGGAAGCGCCCATGCTCAGATGAGCTCTCTGGTCAAAGGGAAATTTAGAAAGCGGCACAGGAAGGAGTTTGCACGGTTGCCTCTCCCTATCTCTGGCCCGCATAGTCCTCACAGATTGTTTCAATACCACTTATTTGGTTTGTTTTCCAGACACACGTAGTTTAACTGGGTGTCAAGTACAAACTCAACCTAGGAGGGGAAGGATCATTTTTTCCCTTTGTGGGAGATGTGAAGAGTGTAGAGGCATTCACATGGCAGTGGATTTGTGCTCGTGAGCATAGAGCTGCTCCGCCGCTCCTCCTTTTCGTTGAAGGTGTTTGAAAGAGCAGCAATATTTCCAAATTGGCAGTGAGGCTTGTTCGTTACTGTCCTTGCTCGTTCTACTTACTCATTACTTGTTCACTGTTCTTCCCTCCTCAGAGCTTATTGCTTCACGTAGTGTTAGGACATAAACCATCCATTTCCCCAGGGAGAGAAAGAAAATGGAAGTGCTCCCAAAATGGCAGTTGCCTCTACAACATTCAGTTTAAATACTTAAAAGTATTTTAGAAGACAAGAGTTACATAAAATTACTAAAAATGTATGCTTAGAACGTCTTTGGTTAGCACTTCTTTCAGGCTCCAATTTTCTGGTTTTTCACTTTACATGGTAATTCTCCAAGTGTTTAGGGTCTTTATTTTCACTTCCCCTGTCATCATATCTTCATTTCCTACAACGTTTAAGGGAATTACTTTTTCTGTCTTTTTAAAGTCAATTCCCTAATCTCTACCTGATGTTTCAAGTTAGAGTTTTTTTTACTGACAAATCTTGATGGAGTGCAGCATTAAGCTCTGTAAGAGGCCTAGAAAGCGCATTCCCTTCTTTTCCAGAACCACAGAGTCTAGATGAGGGGATAATGGTTTTTCCAAAAACAACAAAAATGAATATGATGGCAGCTGGTACACATTTTGTAAGGACAGTCCTTTGTGAAGGAGGATTTGAACTGAGCCTTGAAAATGCCTGAAATCTCTAAACATGAACAGATTAAAAAGGGTATTTTTAATAGGGGTCAACACACCATCATCAAAGTCACAAGAGCAGAAATTTATAAAGTGTTCACAGCAGAAACTGAACACAGTCATTTACATGGGGGCAGACGGCACATGTGAAGAAGTAGGGAGAGAGAAGCTTCACTAGATATATCAGCGTGAGAATATGTTGTGGCATTTGGATATTTTCTTTCTTTTTTTTTTTTCTTAATTTCTCCCAGAGTCATTTATTCCATCTATGATTTTACTTGTTTTCTTTTTATTCGTGTATAATTAACATACAGTGTTATGCTAGTTTCAGGTGTGGATTTTATTATATAATTTGTATATGTTTATGTATTTTCTGGACTTTATTATAAATGCAGATGGAGCATACTGTTTTCCTTGGAGTGGAAATGGCATACTGAAATGTTATGGCAACACTAATTGGACTGGCACACAGGATGGATTGGAGCGGGGAGAGATCTGGGGCCATAACTTGGGCAAAAGGGCATGGATAGAGCCTAAGAGAAGGAAGGCCTGAAACAGAGCAGAAACAGTGGGCATTGCAAGGATGGGATGGACTGGAGGCCATGAATGAGAACTGGTCTGACCTCCAAGAGCAGGGGGGGGTGTGTAGGAGGAGGGAGTAAGGACTCATAGGTGACTCAGTACGGTCATCACACATAACCACTTGTGCATGCCTTTTATGAGGTGGTGGGAATACAAAGAGGCTAAGTTCATCAGCACATGGTTAGGAGGACAGAGTAGGTGTCCACAGGGAGATACCTCATCTGAGCATTAAGTACTGTGTATGGTCGTGAGCTCTCAGGAGTTCAGAGGAAGAAATACTCCCTGAAGTTTGAAGTCATGGGAACTTCAGGGAAGAGATGGGACATATGCCAATCCTTGCAGAGTGGGTAGCTTTTGGGAAGAAAGGGAGGAGGTGTTAGAAGGGTAAGGTGAGGGAGAGAGAAGCAACAGCACCTGGTAGAGAAACACGGGAGAGTTTGTGGCACATGCAGCAAGCCCATCTGGTTGGAGCAGAGAGTTTGTGTAAAAACACAGAGAGGGGGCACCTGGGTGGCTCAGTGGCTGAGCGTGTCTGTCTTTGGCTCAAGTCGTGACCCCGGGGTCCTGGGATCAAGTCCCACATCGGACTCTCTGCAGGGACCCTGCTTCTCCCTCTGCCTGTGTCTCTCTCTCTCTCTCTCTGCTGTGTCTCATGAATAAATAAATAAAATCTTTAAAACAAACAAAAAACAGGGGTACGGGGCAGAGAGAGAGAAGGTAGAAAGAGACTTTTGATTAGTCTAGGAAAGATCTAGAGGCCAAATTGTAGAGTTTTGTAATTTAACCTGGGCAATGTTAAGCCACTGCCATTCTCCCGGTAAGAGAGTGGCTAGTAAAAGTGCATTTGGGGAAGTTTAATCTGTGAAAGGTGTCTGGAATAGACAAGTGGGGAGATGGTACTAGCAAGATGCAGAGTTGGGTGACTTCTAGTTAAAAGGGAGTGAGAATATAAAACGATCATGGCAAGAGTATGGAAAAGAAGCCGAAGAGTTACCCATAAGCATAAAGGGAAGAGGGAAATACAGTTTTACCCAAGATTCAAACCTGGGAGGCCACGAGGAGGGGAGTGGTCTGGAGACCACCCATAGCTTAGCGTCAAAGACACGGAGCCAGAGGTGGCAGCCAAAAACACCTCCAGGAGGTGGTGAGAAGTAGGGGCTTGCGATTTGGCCAGAAAATAGACTTAACCACTTCCAGTTGAAAAAAAAAAAAAATCCACACATCTCAGCAACATTTTGAAGTTTTTAATTAATTGAATTTATTTATTCAGAAAGCGAAGTGTTTTCAAAAGCTCGTTTGAGATCTTCTACTCTCTTGATACAGATGAATTCTCAATCGCTCTTTTGTATTTCCTGTGAAACAGTTCTACTTGTGTGAGAGAAAAAAAAAAAAAAACGGGAGGGAGGACAGTGGGAAGGTTTTCTCACTCTTCCAGGTGTAGAAACTGTGGGCTTTGGGCCTCCACAATATCCTCCTCAATGGCAGCAATTCATATTTTATACATCCTTCTACCGATTGCAGCACCTAGGACACATCAGAGCTGCGCACAGTGGAAATACTCAATGTGGGCTCATTTGCATTTTCATCGTACTTTGCAAAGATAAAAGAGTGGACATAAGAAAAGCTAACGAGCTTACAGCCAATTTTGTTAACGACAGACTCTACATAAACAAATGCAAATCAGATGTCAAATTTGAATTGCAGAAAATATTGTAAGCAAGGTCCAAGAAGTAATAATGGCAGCTTCAGATCTTTCCCCCAATGACAAAATCCATGAACAGTCCCACAGGGGGGCCTAGTGGGCTCAGTCGGTGGAGCATTCGACTCTTGGTCTCAGGGTTGTGAGTTCGAGCCCCATGTTGGGTGTAGAGATTACTTACAAAAAACCAAAGACTCAAAAAACAATCCCACATCCCTTAGAGTCCCAGAGACATTCCAAAGTCACAGCACCTTGAAGAGTAGAGTCAGCAGCTGAAGTTATTCGGGCGAAGAGTCACCTTGTGTCAGCCCCAGGCTCGGGCTAGCTTAGGTGGCCTGGGATTCTTTTATTTGTTTATTTATTTTGAACTATGAACTAGCAAGAACCTCATCTATCTGAAGGTGGGGGCGAGATGTACGATGGGAGGGCCGAGACCTCTCAGGAATACACCCAACCAAGTATGATAAAGGGAAGGAGGACTTTACCCGCATAGTCATCATTTTTCTTCAATTGATGGTTATATTAAGTAAGGAAAGAGAGTGTCAGGCCAGTTGACTTGATCATAAAGGAGAAACAACAGAGCACTTGTTCCCCCTTCCAAACTACTTCAACAACCCCCCCCCCCTTCATTTTATCTTCTTTCTCTGGTCTTTCAGCCGCTCGACTGATCCAGAACATGGATGCCACTGCTGAGCCCTGTACAGACTTTTTTAAATACGCCTGTGGAGGCTGGTTGAAACGCAACGTCATTCCTGAGACTAGCTCCCGTTACAGTAACTTTGACATTTTAAGAGATGAACTTGAAGTCGTTTTGAAAGGTTAGTGGAGTTTGTGTCTATGCATCAAAGATTTCTCTCTTAACATACCCAGTTTTTTAAAGCTGCAACTCTTAAGTCATTACAGAGAATGTCACAGAAGATTAAAGGCGATAATCCCTCCAGGTTTTGTGGCTCGCCACCAAGTCACTCTGAGGGTGGTAACGCTGAAGTGGTATGTTGGCATCTCAGCATTTCCCCTTTCACTTGGGGGGGCACGTACGATGCCCTTATGATAAACCTCTGTCATCCCTAGAGGTGGCCTCTGTGTGCCATTTCACATAATAAGAAATTAATGATTGCCACTAAACGCCACCTCCAGTGTCTTTCCAACCCTGGCTCTGGGGTGAAGTCAGTATCAGGTCGGTACCGTGTTGAAGACGTTACTCACATTTGCATCCCGGAATAGGTATATTTATTCTAACCCAGCTAAGACATTCTCCCTGGGGAAGTTGAGGAAGTCTTGTCCGCCATCCTTCACCTTGTGTTCCCCTCTTCTAGCAGTTACTTCGTAGAAAAACAATTTTTTGCTACTTTTCAAACATCCAAACAAGTAGAAGAGTTTGGTCAATGTATTTGGAGCATGAGTAGCACAGTCACACGAAGATCATTATTTCCAGCCATCAAGAAGACTATCGTATTAAATTCCATATTCCTCTGCATTATTTCTTTTTACTCTCGATTTCAAAAAAAAGTAACTTATGTATGACAGACCAGTACGCATCACTGTTCGCAAAAAAAAAAAAAAAAAAGATAATCTCGTCCAAAAGACTTTCATCTAACTTGGCTAATGAAATCAACTCCCAGTTCTGCGCTAGGAATATAGGAATAGCGATCTGGTGAGCGGTGGAGTTTATCCTGTAGGGTTCTAGGGCGAGGGAGGGACTGAACGCACACACAAAGGCAAGCTTTTTCCCTGGAACTACTTTGAAAATGTTGATTATAGCTGCAAATGAGCAGTTCCATTGATGTATTTTATTAAATGCTCGGTTTCAGATGTTCTTCAGGAACCCAAAACTGAGGATATAGTAGCAGTGCAGAAAGCAAAAACGTTGTACAGATCTTGTATAAATGAATGTAAGTGCTCTCCTTTTTATTTCATTAACTGTGTGCCAAAATATGCAAAGACTTCATAATGACTTCTATTTCTGTTGTTTTCAAAAGCTGCTATTGATAGCAGAGGCGGACAACCTCTGCTCAGTCTGTTACCAGATATCTATGACTGGCCAGTAGCAACGGATAATTGGGAGCAAACATATGGTAAGGCAATTTTCCTCCTTTTTTAAAGAATAATTTCCGCGTGAAACTTGTGTTGTGATAGTATCATATTAATGCCCTACAGCTTCTAAAAGCATATTTCACCTTCTGTTGCTTTAGGTACTTCTTGGACAGCTGAGAAGTCTATTGCGCAACTGAATTCTAAATATGGGAAAAAAGTCATTCTTAATTTTTTTGTTGGCACGGATGATAAGAACTCTGTGAACCATATAATTCATGTAAGTTGGTGTGGCTGACGGCCAAGGCCGTCTTTAAATTTTAATAAAACGTCTACACACATTGTTGTAATTGATGTTTAGAAATAATGCATATTCTCATTTGAATTGCATGAGCAAAGAGCCATAAATTCGTGCTCTGTCCCCAATACCTGGATTCCCAATTTTGAAAGTACTTTCCTTTTTTCTTTTTTTTTTTAAGATTTTATTTATTTATTTGAGAGAGAAAGAGAGAGAGAGCATGGGGGCAGAGGCAGAGGGAGAGAGGGAGAAGCGGGCTCCCCCCCTGAGCAGGGAGCCTGATGCGGGGCTCGATGCCAGGACCCCAGGATCTGAGCCAATGCCAGACGCTTGACTGAGTGAGCCTCCCAGGCGCCCCAAAAGTATTTTCTTATGTTGTGCTTTAGACATTTATCTCTCCTTTCTACTACCATAGGTCTAGATGCTGCACCTTCATGTCATAAAGTAAAGAAATGGCCTCCAATGTAGAAATAGCACTTGATTTCTCTGTATGCTCATGAAAGGAGCATAGTTTAGTTTACATAAGTAATGCGAGTCTAGAAACCAGATATTTCTAATTGCTTCCAAAAAGAACGTAGAAGAGGGATTTTTTTTAATACAATTTTGGTTGTTACTAAGGAATGTCTGAACTTTTTTTTTCCAGTGAAAGTAAGTAAAATAATCTTTTAAAATGGACTTATTAGATTTTTTTTTTCATATAAGCCATTCATTTAGGTTTACTGCAGATGCCACCTAAGATGAGATGAATACTTAGTGAGTATGTTTGGAATGAAATTTACAGAGCTTTTATTTGGTTTCCTGTAAAAGAAAGTACCCCAAAAGTTGCTAGCCACAGATTCAAATTTATGTCACAACTGTATGCATCTTCAGGACCATTTTTATGAAAATCATAAAAGGGATCGAACCCAGCTCTCTTCTACAGCAGATCTCTTTCTCCCTTTCTTCCAAAGAATTCACTTCTTTGGCTCTTAAGTGCCAGCATCCTCCACGATCACCATAAAGAGATTTCCTAGGGAGAGTTGGGAGATTGGAAGAGGGATGGCTGGAGCCCTACCTGTGGTGACACCTTCTGGCTCTTTCCATCCCCATCCTCTGGATTCTATTTCTTTCATATTGTCCTGGACTCTATAGCTGCCGGCTTTCTCAGGCTAACCCGCTCATGCTCTAGGGTGCCCCGTACCCGTCTAGCCCTGCAGTGTGCAGGAAGCAATCCCACAGAGCTGTGCGTGTGCCCAGGTGGCTCTCACTGGAGGCCCAGGACTCTCAGAGCTGCGGGAGCAGAGCCTCATTTCCTCCTTCACTCGCTCAGCTGCCAGGATTTGGGCAGAGCAGGCGAGAACCGAGGAGGAGTCTCCTTTATCCCCCTAGAGTAGGGGATGTTAAAAAAAAAAAAAATCCTTGGCAAGATTTCCACCAGCCAGACAGTTCTAGAGTTACCATAGAATTTTCCACTTTTTCGGGTGGTTTGGTTTTGTTTTGTTTTCCGTCCCAGTTAAGGGTGGGAGTCGAAGAGATCGTCCCCCAGGAGGGCATATTAGAATCTCAGGGAGCCAAATGTCCTATAAACGTGTCATTTAGAAACTCCCAATGTTAGATTCTAACATGTTTTTGTCCACCTGTCCCTTCTGTTTTGCATTAAAAAAATCCTTCCCAGTGCATTTTCATGTAAGTTTTCTCTGGTTTTCCTCCAATACCTGCAGCAGAATCTTCCAGATTACCTAATTACCCATCAGTGGAACCCTTCCAAGTAGCAGGGAAACCATTGCCTCATCTGGATTCATTCACTCATGGTCTGATCGTCACCCCTATAAACAGCAAGGACACTAGGATCTTGCTCGCACACAGACAGCCAGGCTTGTATTTGATCCAACTGTCCCACATCAACTGAACGGTTTCTTTTCCTCTTTGCATATTTTTTTTTTTATAGATTGACCAGCCTCGACTTGGCCTCCCGTCCAGAGACTACTATGTCTGCACTGGAATATATGAAGAGGTAAACAAACAAACAAAACCACAAAGCTACAGGAGCAGTTGGTGTGAACTTAGAAATAATGAAAAAGACGAAGGCAGACCTAAACGTAACTGTGTCCTTCACTCCCAACCAAGACATCACGTTGAGCTTCCGTTGGCTGAATGGATAGTCTCAACAGAATGAATGGGATTCTCTTGAGAAATAAGGAAGCTTGAAATTCCTTATGTGCGGGTCTCAGTGCTTAACCATTTAAGTCCCATGACCCACTTGGAAAAGTGAATGTTAAGTGTTGCATTTCCTCTATAAATGGCATCACTTAGAAAAAGCGAGCGGATGAATGAATCATGGTGTCGGGTGGTGCCCACGAGGATCCGGGAGCGGCCCGTTGTGAGACGCATCATGGCCCACGGTGCACTTTCAGAGCTCGTGGATGTGACGTTCAGGGAACTACCGAGGTGGAAGCTTTGGGTTCAGGCAAGCCTCTGCCTCCAACACGGGTCAATGGGCCAAGGGGCATCCTCCGCCCAGGACTGCGGGACGTCCTGCAGGGCTGCGTGGTATCCCAGAGCCCTGCTGCCCTCACACGATGTCCATCTGCCTGGGCTGATTGGTGTCAAACACAACACAGGCTGCACACGGCCCTGTGAGGTATATCAGGTGTCTGGGAGAGGTGTTCGTTCTCTCAGTGCCGTCCTCATGACGATTCTGTAACTCAGAAGTTAAGGTGATGGTCCTCATGGGGGACAGTGGAGCAGGGTGGCTGAACTTCCCGCTCAGCTAAAATTGTTAGCTTAATTCCTTTATGCCAAAACCCATTTTGCATAGTTATTAAGTTCCAGTGACAGGGACTAACTTCACTGTAAAATATCTTTTTGAGGGGCTCCACTGCATTGAAATGAAGGGAAAGATGTGTTATAAAAGAAAAAAAAAAGGCCACAATTAGGAGCACAGACAGTCAAATGGAGGTGGGGTATTTGAGTTCATTATAAACCTAGTTACTGTGTGGGCTGCAGCTATTATAGGGTTTTCGAGCTACTTCCTATTGCAGAGTTGAGGGTGATTGAGGAATTTTGACTCATTATATTTCATTGTCAGCATCATCAACTGGAATGTTTTTCATATTTAAGATTGTGCCCTAAAGACATCAGGTTTTTCCAATCCTAAAAATACGTGCATTTTTTTTGTAGTTTAATGTCTCTGATATCAAGGATTACCTGGCAGTCAGTGTATATGTTTAATGTGAAAAAGTTTATTTTTTTCCCCCTCAAAAAGCAGAGTTAAGATGATGGTGTATTTTTGTGCATTTTATACTCGGTGCTCTCTCGTAGTCTAGAACAAGTCACAAACTGGCCCATCATAGGCTTGAGTCCATATCAAGGCATTTTTGTTTAACCTGCAGTCGTGTTGTGTTTTTAAAGTCTGGATCAGTTGCCTGTAATTTTAAAAATTGTAAGATTTTACTTGAGAATCCAGATCTCTTGATAACCTTATAGGACCGGAAACCCTAGGCCTGTATTCCCACGCGGCAGTGGTTGGACATGGCTGTTGTGTTTGCTTCATTTGTTCTCCAGGTTCGAACAGTCTTTATCTAGATGATGATCGGTTTATATGGACTTCCTGGTCCCTGTGTGTGCTTGAGTTTGTAAGTTAGTTGGGTCCTCGCTAAGCTATGGTAACGGAGAGACCTAAAAATAGTGAAGCTCCAACAGAGTATTTCTGTCTCCTGTTATCCTACAGCCTCCAAATCCAAAGAACCACAGCTTCTTTGACCACCTTCCTGCTAACATCAACCTCTTGTCATGTTTTGCGTGAGTCTATTTGGTCAGAGTTGGTTCCCCAATGCTTTGTTCACATTTCATGCCACAGGGAAAAGAAAAGATTCCTCTTTATATAAGGGATGCAGAAGAAGTTGCGTGCAGGCCATTGGTTAGAACATTGTCGTGTGACTACTGCTAACTATCAAGGAGGCTGGGGAACGTAGCCTTAATGTGGGGGGCCATGGAGGTAGGTGCCTCTTTAGAACCTGGTTGACGGGGAAGAAAAGTTCTACTCATTAAAAAAAGGGAATCTTGGACCCCAAAGGCATTTAGCAGTCCTGCCACTGTTTGCATCCTCTGGTCTGGGAAATACGGTATTTATACCCAAACTACACGTCGGTGATCAAATCTAGAATGAGTAATACGGGAGAGGAATCTGAGGCTCACAGGTTTGCCCTGGAACACTCAGCAAAGCAATAGTAGAACCAGAGCTAGAACTTTCGTCCCTGTCTGTTGCTCCTCCCATCAGATCATTCATTCCAACCTGCGGAGAGTAGGACTTTTTACCAGGAGGGTTCTTTGAATGAGCGAGTGGTAGGGAAAACCCAGCACTGGCATTTGCAGCCCAGAAGTCATTGGTTCAAATTAGGTGCCCTTCGATGATCTGGATCAGAGTCACAGACACACAGCATGCTTGCTGCCTTGCCCCGCTTCCGTAGAGAGGACTACTGGTCCCTGTACCCCTTCCTGCTAACCTCGGTCCCTGGGGTACTTCTCAGGTCGGCGCTCTAGCTCCAAGCAGCCAGTGGAAAGGAGTTGGCATGTGGGATGACATTTGTCATCCTGGAAACGGGTAATTGCTAGAATACTTCAGGACCCTCTTCCTCTCTTAAAATCCATTATTGGGGGAGGGGGGACCCCTAGAGGAGTATATGTGGCTACAGGAGAAATTCCAATTTTTTCCTTATTGCCCTCATGATATTTGCTCCCGTCTCCCAGTCACTTCCACCTGTAATCCCGCACTTACTTTCTATTCTGCATCCCTAGCCAGCTATCAGGTAAAAGTTGATTCTAGTTTTCCCACTGCCTTGCTGTCTCTGAAAAAAGTTAACCCCCTTAAATACTTTTTCCTCAGTGTGGTATTGCTTCATGAAAAAAAAAATGATGAAAAGGATAGACTAACGAAATGACATGCAGTGGAAGTCATAAAGCTGGAAGAAGCCCTGATAGGATTATATCAGTGAATCACTGGTCTGCATTGATTTGCTCCCTTTATATATGCTGTTCCCTTTGCCTGGAACATTCCACACACACCTGGATCTGCCCATCCCCCTTCCTTTCTCCTTACCTTTCATTTTTTTAAAAGAAGATTTTTATTTATTTATTTGAGAGAGAGAAAGAGAGAGAGAGCTCGCACAAGCTCGGGGAAGGGCAGAAAGGGGAGGGAGAAGCAGTCTCGACTTGGGGGCTCACTCCATCATAGGACCCCAGGATCATGACCTGAGCCAAAGGCAGACGTTTAACCAACTGAACCACCCAGGTGCTCGTCTCCTTTACCTTTTAAAATTAACTATTAAATTTTATTTCTTTGGGACACCTGGGTGGCTCAGCAGTCGAGTCAGCCTCAACTGGGTTCCTGGGATCGAGTCTCGCATTGGGCTCCCTGCATGGAGCCTGTGTCTCTGCCTCTCTCTCTCTGTTTCTCTCATGAATGAATGAATAGATAGATAGATAGATAGATAGATAGATAGATAGATAGATAGATAGATAGTACTTCCTCATGAAGGCCTTCCCTGGAACTTTTAACTAGATGAAGATACCTTTATGTTCCCATAGCACATGGCTTTCTGGATACTTTTTTATTTTAAGTCATTTCCCCTCCCCCCAACCCCTCATAGGAAACTGTAAAATTAGTGGGAACGGTGGCATGTCTCACTGATTTTGTTGTTTTATTTCCAGTATTCAGCCTGGATTCTGACTCTTACTCATGCTCAAAGGAATACTGAATGAATGAATCAGAGGATGAATCAGTGGTTGAGGGGACAGATGGTGGAGAAGAGAGGAAAGAAAAGGAAGGCAGAAACATCCCATTTCTTAGAGGTCCCTCCTAGTTCCTAACCTTGACTTTGGGGCAGATGTGAGCTCTAGAACATCAGTAGCTGATGGACTCTATTTCCCAAGCATCTTATAAACATCTTACAAACCGTGTATCACTTTTCCTCTTTTTAATCTCCAGCTCTTCCTCAGCTATATTCAGTTTGCCTGAGATATATTCATGCATTCGGTGGGTCCTCGACTTGTGGGTCCCACATTATTTTATTGGAAATAAATAAGAAAAGTTTTGAGGTTCAACATGAGGTCACCAACTTTTTAGCAAGACGTGTGCTCCATCTTTGACTAGGGAAGTCTGGCTTCTTTGTCTGGCACTCTAGCCAGGGATTTTCAAACTAGACCGTGGAATCTGGTTTTGCAAATTATGCTTCAGGGGCTGGGGATGAGGGAGGGTCACACCCCCTCTTTGATCAGAAGGGCCCTCATCATAGGTCTTGATCAAATCAGTACCTAAGCCCATTTCCCTAGGTCCTCCTTGACCCCCCCTTTTGGGGATATCCAGCTCATTCAGATAATCAATCTTAAACCAAACTTCTTATGAACAATGCAAACAGCACAATTATTATTATTATTTTTTTAACAGCACAATTATTAGGAAAGCTTTTGCTGCTTCTGCTTCATGGAAGCTTGTTTCCCCCCCCCCCTTTTTTTTTTACTTTATTTTGTTTTGTTCTTTTTGTGGGGCTTTTTGCCTTTGATACCCTCCAAATGGAATTTTTGTGTTGTGAAGGCATTCAAAATAGTAAAATGCCTTATGCTGTTACACCAGTAAGTAATGAAAATAGATGAGGCATTTTTTTTTTCAAGAACTATTTCTTACCTTCTTCCTCCAAGAGAAAAACCTCTTTCTCTTGTTAAAAGACCTTCTTGCCTCTCCAACTTATTATGTGCTTTTATTCTGGCAATTTTAAATGTTATATTTTGAGAAATGCATATTGTATTCATCTGGTTATTCTAAATTTAAATACCTCCATTCCTTTTTGTTTACTCTGCTTTCCCTCTCACATAGAGGGAACATACCCTAAGGCAATAAAAACCAGAAACATATATACATATATTTATGTTTTTTACATGACAGAATCATATATTTTCTTTTTTAAAAAAAGATTTAATTTTTAAGTGATTTATTTCTTTTTTTAAAAAAAAGATTTA